TATATATATATATATATATATATATATATAAAAGAGGTAAATCGCTCGGTATACCTCTCTTCTCCCCACACGGGGCGATGTCATTGAGGCGACGTCGCAAAAAAAAAAAAAATTGCGACGTCGCTTTTTTTTTTTGCGACGTCGCCTCTCTTCTTGGGCGACCTTGTAGAAAAAAAAAAATTGTGATGTCGCAGAAAAAAAGGAAACGTTTGCCACGTTGCAGAAAAAAAAGAAAAATTGCGATGCTGCCTTGGGTGACGTCGCCTTGAAAAAAAAAAATTTTCACTGAGGCGTCGCCTCTCTTCGCCTCACAATGCCGATACTCTTCTCCCCACGCACGGATGAGAAGTCGTCGCAGACAAGGAGAGCGGTGCTGATCTCAGGTTCTCTTTTTATTTTTCCTATTTCTTTCTTCCCCTTCTGCCTCTTCTTTCACCTTCTCCCTTGGTCACCGTTGACTCCCTCTTTTTTCTCCCTCGGTCATCATCGACGATAACAACCTCAATAGACGCTACCGCTCGGTAGCGGGCGGTCTGTGTACTGGTGTGCTGACGGACTGGTACATACCGCTCGGTACAAGCGGTATTATTCGGTATTGCAAACCTTGAATAGAAGAACTAGGATTACAAAATTTATAACAATAATGGCAAAAAGTTTAATCTGATAAAGAACATTATTCTCTCAAATATGTTCCACAAATTTTTCAAGTAGTTTAATTGTCTTTCTTCTATATTTTATAAAGGTGAACACATCAAATGACTTCACAAGCATTGTATATAATGAATAATTCATCCGAAAATTAGCTATACTTCTTGTCTCATATCGATTTATGTATATGATACTACAAAACAATAATGTTTTGCATCCTTATGACCTTCCATCAAGTCATTTGTGTTAGCTAGTTCCTTTCAAACTTATGGAACTTGGAGCTCATAACTTGGAGGATTCAAGTTTGGACCATACCTTTGGTGATAGCTTCGAAATTCACCCTTTTTTTTGTTCACACATGTGCTTCGTTCTGATGTCACTAAGTGCAGGATAATGTATAGGGCTTCCTACACCTAAATCCTTCTTTTTCAACTTTTCAAAAATTTATATAATTTTTGCTGCATGTCTGGTAGGACCATTAGAGTTCTTCAGCAGAATGCTGAAAAGAAAAAAATAATAATGATATCACAAGTATATCTTTTTTAGTTATTATCTTGTGGCTTAGCTGATGACAAAAAGGCCATGCAGTACTTCATTATGCAACCGCACTCTTTTTTTGAAATTGGTCTTTCTAATAGTTCCTTCTGTTACATGTTTATATGTTGTGTTGGGGAGTTATGTATCTTCAACCAAAAATACAACCACAAGAAAAAATAAGTTAATTTGCATCTTTTCTGAGATAGTATAGTTTCAGAAAAATTGAGCAACTCTTGTAGGTTCATATTTTAAATTTGTCATATAGCACACCTCATTTTTTTCAGTTATGAATATAAGTTGATAAATTAGTGACACTTTTACACATAGGGCATTTAAAGAAAGTGATGTTTGAGCTGTGTTATTAATCACAAGCAGTCAGAACTCTAGCATTTCCATGTAGAAGGCTTGACGATGGATGATGGATATATATACATAGATAATTTGCTTCTCATCTTTTCTTAGGAGAATCTATATTATCATTGTCACTCTTCAAACTCCAGACCTTCAGTTTATCTTGGTTTTTCTGTGCATAGTCAGTTGGTGATCAGAAGTTCAGAACTAACATTGCAGAAGGGATTTTGGGTGCATCTTAAACAATGTGTGCCAAATGATTATCAACAACTATATCACAGCTCTATTGTCTTAATGAGTTGAAAAACCAGAATTGAATGGAATAAAATTATTTTCCTAAATAGCTTTTGTGCTTTATTTCATGTGAATTATATTGTTGTTTGAAGCTTGTCAATATAGTGTATAATCATAGAATCCATTAATTTGCTCCTAACATATTTGTGGCAGTTTTAGATTCATTTTGTAAAGAATATGAGACATTTTGTTATTATTTTGCTTATAATTTGTAAGTCTAGTGATTTTTAATCATCATATAATAATATCCAATGCTTTTACAAATGTTATGTCAGATATATGATTTTGATCGAGATTACAAGGATATTGGTGTTGCTCGATTTACTACCAAGTCTTTTGTTGTGAGAAATTGCCTGCCCAATGCCAAGTCGGACATGCTATTATCAGCTTGGAATGCTCCTCCAGAATGGGGAAAGTAAGACCATCTGTTTCTCTTATGTTCTGTTAGTTAAAAGACAGTTTTTTGGCCATGGTAGTCGCTATATATAACTTGTACATACTACAGACTGTCTTGATTTATGATATTTTGTGCATAATCATCTCATGTCACTGATGTTGCGTTATCTATATGCCACTGGTTATATTTTTCTGGATAATTATTTCTTCATGATCAATCTGTAGCCACAATGAAACGAATATGTGGGAATCTTGAGATGCATGCACTAACTACCAGCTGAAATCTTATAGGATCTGTATTGTATACAAATCTCAGAATGTAATTTACCAAGACCTAATCACTATTGATTTGTACTTCCTCAGTTTCTATCAAAGAAAATCATAATGTCGATATCTGTAAGGCTAAAAATCAAATTTTGCTATGCAGATGGAAATGAATGACTTGTTGCTTCAGCGCAAGATAGATTCAATTCCAATGCGAAGAACTATATAAGTTTATATGTTTATTTGTTTTATGTGTATAAACAGAATCATTGTATATGTGTATATAGGTGAAAAATTCTATGTTAAATTTAATCCATATTTGTAGTGCCAAAGAAAAGTTACAGGAAGAAGAAGCTTCATGATTGAGAAATGATTTTCAACTAATCTTAGTGAAAAATAACATAAAGATAGAGGGAATACAGTTTGTACTGCAGTATTATTTCTTAACTTTCTAAAGTTGACCATTTTATTCATGTTTAGTGTTACACGTAAAGAATAAAGGATGATCTCATTTGTAGCAGATGTAACATGATATGTTGAATAAGAAAAGGTCACGTATTGCCCTAATCTTCCAAAAATAGGCATTTAGTGATTGGACTTAGATGAACCCAAAATTTAGTGCCATGAAAGGGAAACAAAAGTACCTCTATGAAATAATTTATCTATCAAAGAAATTAAAAAATATATTTCCTAGACCAAAATTGCCTTGTTGGAAGCATGCCTTGTGTCAACCTTGAGCTGCCAGTATGTGGAAGTGTCATGATGCAGTATGTGATATGCTTAAATAAGTTGATAATGTAAGAAGAACACCAAGAAATAAGAAATAAAGAAAATATCCATAGAACTATAGAACTTGACAAGATACAAACATATCAGTTATGTGCAATGCTCATGGTCCTATTGAGGTGGGTAGGTGTTTCTGTCAATGATGACTGCTAATCTAGGTTACCCTTTATATATTCAGCATGATAGTGAAGGGAACTCTAATGGTGCTTATTGTCATCAGACTGACATAAATGTCAAATTGTCTTTGAAGAAGAGCTTGTTCAGGAATTCTTTTTGCAATCAAATGGTCAACTGGTTTGCTAAGTTAGATCCAATCATCCAATAAGAAGGGTCCTAAAGGTCCTTTGTCACTCTAAGGTTGGCTATTCTCATGTCAAGACCAAGATGCTTCAAAACACAATGACCTGGAGACATTGTTTACCTGCACAGACTGATCTCTATTTTATCATATTTTCATTGTAATGTATTTTTAGGGTTTATGTTTTCACAACATTTAGCTTAGTTATATGAGTATGTTCAGAGTGTCCCGAAATATTATATCTCAGTTTCTTGTGAATGGAATTACTTTTTTATTGTTTCTGATGGCATGAAACAAAAATTTAAATCTTGTTCCAACTCCAGTTTCAAAAACCAGTCGAATACCAGGTTTACACATGGTACCACCAGAACAAACAATAAAAAATATTGATCCAATTGGTCTCTATGGTCTAGTATTGGTTCTTGTCAGACTGGTACATACCTACGCTTCACCAGATTGGTAAGTACCAAACTGTATTGACTGGTACAATCAATTTCCTTGGTGCCGTACATATATCTAATCATGCTCGTCTTGGACAATTGTATGTTTATTCCAACACTTTTCCAGACACTAGAACAACCTAAAGGGCACCAGCACACAACATGATATATCTTCATTTTTTTATCTTTTTGCAATAGTTTCATATTCATATTTTCCTTATTTATTTTTCGATCTCCTCATCCCATTGAATACTTGATCTATTGAAAATCTTTTACAATTTGAAGTTTTACAGCCTTCAAAACTAATTGAGCTCATTCTTCTGCTATATATTACGAGAGTTGTCCTTTATATACTTGCCACATTCTTGTTGGTCTAAAATCTTAGATTCTATTGGTGTTTTCAGTCTTAAATTTTATTCCTATCCTATAGTTTTAAAAAGAAAGCGATAGAACAGGAGAGGAGGAAGAGGATGAAGATGAGGAGGTAGCGGTGGAGGAGGCATAAAGATCGGAGGAAGTACAGGATGAGGAGGTGGTAGCGGCAACGTGGTGGAGTGGAGGTGGCTACAATAATGTAGCTGGGAGAAGGATGAGGTGGAATAGGAGGGGAGGAGGAAGCACATATGTGAGGAAGAGAGGAACAGCTCATGTGATGCCTTTCAAACCTTGTTTCCAACCATATATAGCCAAGAAATCTTGGGGCATATTGTATCAAAACCAGATGAAACAAAGAGAGAGATATGAGGTGGTGGATGAGGTGGAGGAGGAAGAGACAGAGGAGGAAGAGAGGTTGTGGATGAGGATGAGGATGCATACAGGAAGGAGGTAATGACTCAGACAAGATGGAATAGGACAAAGAGACAGAGAGTTGCAGAAAGAACGAAAGAACAAAGAGAAAACTATGACAACTATCATAAGTTAAAGAAAAAAGGTTCTGATTAGGCTCACCACTTTGTATTTTTCTATACTAGTATGCTTCCTGAGAAGCTTGGTATGGTGACCTTGCTTGGTTGTATGGCCCATACCAATACTGGTATAACACCAGTATTGGTCCAATCCAACCCAGCATATACTAACACATGGTACATCAGTGTATGCTGTGGCACCAGTTTCGAGTGACCTGAGCCCGTCAGAATCCGAAAAATACCTAGTTTAGGGTTGTTTCTAACCTTTTTTATTTAGACAGTCAAATTATATAAATTCGAAGTGGTTTCAGTCTAAAAAACAATAAGTAATTATGCAAAAAGCATATTATATAAGGACCACATATTGTATATACATTCTAAATAATAAATGTATACATTAACAAGACGTAATTTCTAATAATAATAAATTTGATGTAGAATATGATCAAGGTATGCAATATCGTACCGTACCGGAGTTTCAACATTCGCTCGGTACGGTACGATATTGTATACCAAGCGGTATACTGTTCGGTATACCGCTTGGTATATATATATATATATATAATTCGACAACGTCGCCGAAGTGATGTTGCCTCGTATATAT